GAATTACATGCTTATGATTTTGTAATAAAAAAGGGGCTTATTTGTGCCAGACCTTGTATTTCTTTCTATTGGATCGCACTGGAATGGAGGATGACCAGTATTCCCTGAAGCTTCCTTTTAGTGGCAAGTGCCTTAGAGTTTACGGTAAATATGGAAAAGATTCTCAGTACCAGTACTGTCTTCCATCAAACTAGGACCAGTTTTTCCCTTTCCCCCTCAGATGGTATGGGGCTGGTGTTTTGAAAATTAGAATGTCCCCATTCAATACATTGAGTACCCATGTGGGTCTCTCATCAGTAGACCAAAGCTTTTTTTTTTTTTTCAAATGCAAGCCTGTCACTCATTAAGGGCATCCTTTCCCCTTTGCGCCCATCCATCCATCCATCCCTCCATCCAATCATCACAAATCAGTCTTATTTTTAGGCCCTGCTCTTCCTATCAGGGCTTTCGCCACATTGCCAAAACAATGGCATAACCAGTGTGGCCATTCTTGCATGGCATCAGTGAAAACTACCAAAGAAACAGAAATTATGTGGGGTAAAAAATTAGTATTTATCAAATACAGGACTTTTAAGGCAAAAGGACCACCACATTCTAATAATTCATGGCTTGTTTTACTGCTCACGTAAAGCTTACACAAAGTGATTATTTGACTCCCTTTATGAATGATGAGTTTGGGCTCTTTCTGCTTTCCACCAGGCCTGGTGTTGAGCTTGTACTCAGTACATATGGGGGATATTATAGGGTACAGGTTAATACTAATAAAGATGGACTTCTATTATGATAGAGATCACAGTTGAACACCATTTCATTTCATACTTTCCAAACAAGTCATTGTTCCCACTGCCCTTAAAGACTTTATAGTATTTTATCTTTGATGATATGGGAATGGGTGATTATTTTAAGTTAAACTTTGAGGGAGTTCAGCAAACATCTCTGAATTCCTTTGTATGCCAAAGAAAGCAAAACTTTTACAAACATGCTCTTCATGTAACCACTCAGACAAGCATTGAATCATTAGTCCAATCTAGCTGGCCTTAAGAGGAACACCATATATTTAACAAATGAAAGGCAAATTAGTGGTACATCATCACCAGACACTGCTTTCAGTAACTTTTCTAATACGGGTGTGCCCTGTTTTAAGCAAGCCCAATAGGTGTGTTTGTTTAAATGCATTACAGGATCATTTGAGATCTTGCTGCTTGGTAATCGTCATCAGTTTGACTCAAACACAGGCTCTGGGGATACAGTGAAAATGAGGCTGTCAAGTTTCCTGCTTTCATGGAACTATGTTTTATTGGAGAGGCTCACAGGACAGCTGCATAGCCGAGGCTGCCCACCGTATCTGGACACAACTGTGCCAGAGGTTCCCTTCCCTGCCAATACTGGTAGCTGTGACACTGTGAAGTATAAAAAAGCTCATGAAGCAATATGGACTTGGGCCCAATGATGGCATAGTGACCTCACTCAATCTCTTTGCTACCAGATTCAATCAGGTGATGAAATTTATTGAGAAGGCCCAAACATGTCTAAATATATCTTGATTGACACACCTGGGCAGACTGAAGTATTCACTTGGTCAGCTTCTGGAACAATCATCACCAAAACCCTGGCGTCCTCAATTCCAACAACTGTCATATATGCAAAGGACACATGAGGAAGTACCAACCCAGTGGCCCTCATGTCCAACATGCTCTACGCCTGCAGTATCTTGTACAAAACCAAGCTTCCTTTCACTGTGGTTATGAACAAAATGGACATCATTGACTAGGCCCTGTAGTGGAATGGATCTAAGATTTTGAGGCTTTCCAAGGTGGCTTGAATCAAGAGACTACATATGTCAGTAACCTGACTTGTTCAATGAGCTTTGTGTTAGATGAGTTTCACAGCTCACTCAGATTGGTAGATGTGTCTGCTGTTCTGAGTACAGGCTTAGATGGACTCTGTGTAAGTCACCAGTGCTACAGAAGAATCTGAAAGGGAGTATCATCCTGTATATGAATGTCTAAAGAAATCACTGGCTAATGCACAGAGCCAGCAGCAGAAAGGACAATTGGAATACCTTGGAGGAAGGTATGGGCTCTGTAGCTCTGGACACAGGAACTGCTACAGACAGCTTATCTCCTGTGCAGGACCCTTCTGACTTGAACCTGACTCAGAAAACCTTGATGAGGATGAGGAAGCAGTGACACTGATGTTGCTGACCAGAGAGGAAAGCCACGAAGAACCAGAGTTCCAGAATTTTATGCAAGAATCAATGGCACAGTACTGGAAGACAAACAACAAGTAGTTCCTAGGAGTCCAGAAGTTTGTAACTCTGGGAAGGAACTATCCTTACCTCTGATTGGGGTTCCTATAAAGAACAATTTTGTTCAGAATAGCGGTTTCTCTTTTTTGGGAAATCTCCCGACTGTGATGAAGCCAGGGGTAGAAGACATTTGGACCTGTCAGGTAGATGCCAATTCCCCTTTGCCTTTCCCTTGGATTTTTGCAAGGAGGGATATTCTGTTTCTGGATGCTGGTATTCCTTCAAGTGTAAAACCATATTTTATCATTTGAACTCAAGTACTTTTGCTGCTGATGGATGGAGTAGAGAGAGAACATATTGTTTCTTTCACATCTCTATTAATAGGCTGGATCTATAGGCTCTGTATCCCTAGCATCTTGCCCTTGACCCACAACTTCTTCTTTTAGCACAAAAGGAGAGGGGAAACAGGAGCTTGTGCAGAGTGGCAGTGGAGTCTCCTTGGCAACCAATCAATGTTGGGATGAAACGTGCCTCATGCTTGGTAGCTCATTATAGGACACCAGGATTGTTGAAAAAAGTGGGAAAAACATTAATGAATGAATATGAATCTTGCTTTTGATGGTGACTTGGATAAAGGATTTTTAACTTTGTTGTAAGCTGGCCTGTCATAAATTTCAAAGAAAATTATATAATCACAAATAGATTCACTTGTGTTCATCAGAGAGGTTTAAAGCCACATGTCCAAACCTGTCTCAGTAAATAGATGACATTCACTAAAGTTTCCTCTGTACACATACCTAGCAGGCCCTGTTTGTATTGTACTTTGAACTTAATGGAAAGTATCCTTGGTGATCCACTCAAAGGCCATGAATTAGGGTCAGGTGTACATTCCATATACAATAGTCATGGTAAGGGTTTACCCTGCCTCCGTTCTTCACAATCTCTTAAAATGTAACACATTTCACTTAAGGAATTGTATCCCTGCCTCATCTGTACTCCAGTGGTTCTGAAAGTGTAGTCTCTGGACCAGAAGCATAAGTATCACCTGTGAAATTTTTAGAACCAGGACACTGAAGACCTCAGTAGAAATGGGGAGAGGCCTAGCAATCTGTTTGAACCACTTCTCTAACTCAAACAGCCTGTGACAATTCCAGGCCAGGTGAATGTCACATATCAAACCTCATATGACCTGCTTTATCAGAGTACCCTAACTTTGATCATCTGGTGCCTATTCTCTAATTTAAACATTCTAAAAATAAAAGTATTGCATATTTTGTTTTACCAAAAAAAATGCATTACAGACAAACCTGGGCATTGTAAATCAGATTTGACACATAAGCAATATTTCAGCTACATTAAAAATAAGAAAAGTCAAGGGGTCGAATCTGCAAATTGCTCCAAATACAATGTTTTAATTTTGAGAAGGAAGATTTAGTCATTGAACTTGTGTAAGGAGATGGCCCGGGGCCTGCTAAAAGTGAGGTTGCAGTTTCCACTGTATTCAAGACAACTGGAAAGATAAATACAACTTTTAGAAGGAACTTCAAGATTTTTATCATTCATATTTCAGTCAGTGGGTCTCACACTTCTGTAATGTGTTACATCTGTGTTGTCCAGTATGGTATCCACAAGCCATATGTAAAATACATTCATTATCATGATCAATTTCCATTAGACCTTCATTCTTCCCAATTCTCCACACAAGTAACAGAGTGGGGTTAGAGTTACAGTTTTTGGCCGTAGAATGCAACGTGGTCAAGTATATAACCATAACCTCAGTAATACTATTTTTTATGTTACAGAATCAGATTTTATCTACAAGACTGGGTATAAATAAATTCAAAGAGATAGCATGTTATTTAAGACAACTAACATTTTATAAAGAAATACTTATGTATAAAAATATAATCAAGAGCATCAATTTGGTTTAAAAAGCAATCGTTACCTTAGCACCCATTAGGAAATCAAACAATGGAATGCATTCACTGATATATTTGTTACAACTATACCTTGATACACTTACGTAACTGAAGGTGATAAATATAGTAGAAATGTAATATAGTGGTGTTGGGAGCACTGACTGGGTGTTACAGTCTATGATACTGTTTATCATTGGACTCACACTGACCATGATTTGATCTGTAATAATTGCATCTGAGACCACATATTAGGGTGCTTGATAAAGGGGTTTTATTTTTCCAAATGAATAACCCTTCATTTTAACCAAAAGCCCCAATAAGGAAAATTAGAGAAATTAAAACAAATGGTTTTACACACTACTCTGATCAACAGAAATCAACAATTTGACGCCAAAGATCCTCTTGAGGAAATTCTCTTTCTGGTTTGCAAAAGCTGTGGGAGACCATTAACATCGTGAGCTCAGTTACAAGAAATGATCTCTAAAATGTCATGGTTTCACACCCTATAGGTGCTTATGGATCTGACAATACAGGACATGCAGGCCCAATTATAGGGCAAGTCAGCTCCAAGTATTTCACACATTTACAAGCACAGAAGCTATCATATTCGCCACTGTATAAAGCTTTTGGGTAGCCACTGAAACTAGGCAAATGATATGGTAACCCAAGAAGAATAGCGAGGTTAAGCCTTTCACACCAAAAACAGTTGGATATGGTGCAACCATATACATGGGGAAAATTTCAGAACTTTAATATGTAAACAAAAACAGGAAGGACTCAACTAACTCAGATAAGTGAAACTGCCTGACTGCCTTTTTTTTTTTTTGTCCCTGAGGTGGTGCGCCATTCCCAGAGGCACCACAATACCAGGTCAATGCTTGGCATGGAGGGCACAAGCTCCTGTTCTATCTCCCTGCTCCAAAAATCCATGTAATATATTGTCCTCAGATAGCGAATGTATCAGACGTTAAACTGGTAAGAACAGATACCTTCCCTTGATCTTAGCCAAAAGGCTGAGACGTGATCAGAAGTTTTTCAAAAGAGATTCCAGAGAACTCATTTTCCCAGCAGGACTATATAAATATCAACTGATACAGTTTTATCCGAGCCACAGCTGAGAGCTTGATTAACTGGGAAACAACACAGTTAAATGACATTATATTCTTCATAGTCATCACTCCAATTTCAGTATCTGCATAGAGAAGTATAGGAGTTACACTGAAATTGTATATGCTGAGGAATGCCACTATATTAGCTCCCAGGAAAATTATTAAGCTCTTTAAGTAATTGTGCTTTTTTTTTTCTCTCAAGGATAGATTTCAATTTCCATTTTTACATTGGTTGGGATCATTTCCTTTATTGCTTGGTTGTGTATTTTGAGAAAGCAAATTCATTGGCACTTGCAGAGGCTTAGAACATACACCAACATTAGAAGTAATGGAAACACAGCTAAAGTTTAATCAGACTTTCACAACTACAGATTCATTTGCATATCTTAGAAAGCCAAAACGACATTAATTTTTTTAACCAATCAGCAAAAATATGTGTCACAGATTTTAAGGTTCATAATTTAGAATTTACCACATAAATATATTTATAAATATATGCTTTATTTGCAAAATTATTATTCTTAAGACATTTCTTCCAACACGTTTGAAATTTTCACATGTGTTTTAAGGAAAAAACCCATCCTATTTAAAAGTGTACTACTAAATTTTAATGCATGATTAAACCAGTGTCACCAAATGGAAAAGGAAAAAAAGAAACATACTGCTGTGTTAGATATGTAGTTGTTACTACAAATAATGACAACACATGTCCTATAAGTGATCACGTACATGCTCTGGTTTCACTTCTCAGTCATTGTCAGAACCATTTGGAGGTAAGAAAACCAATGCATCATTGAAAATATGTCCAAATGCCCTAAGACGGTACACCCCATACATCATCACATGCATTTGATTAGGAGTCAGTCCATTAAAAGTAACAGCCATATCTGAACAACATCCTTCTACTACCAAGTTGGGTTGATTAGTCATTGCCTCTTTAATAAAAAGCCCAACAGATTTGGTATTAAATACATCTTTTCCTTCAGAATCTTCTGCATTTTCTGCAAACACTCCAGCATATTTCAGGCAGACTGCTAGCTGTTTATCTTCAGATATCTTCCAAATCATCCCTCCCTGTTCAGGACACTTTTCAGGGATGCTGAGAAGGCTGTTAAGTCTTTTCATTGATTCTATACTTAAGACAATTCCTCCTTCCACATTCACATATTCAAGGTCTCCAGATTTTACAGTGTGGCCTAGATAGAAAGGTTGTGATGGATCCTTTTTTAACAAAAAATACTTTAAGTTTTCAATAATAGCAAACGTTGAGGGGCGTGCAAGGAAGAACCAGTTGTACTGGTCTCTGTATTTATCAAAGGCGTATTTGTAAGCTTTTCTCATCATTAACCACATGTCATTTGTTTCCATGTTAATTGAATCAAACACTTTAACATTTTCAGAACTGAAGAACTCCGCTTTGTCACAGTGTTTGGTCCAAGTCTCCTTCACTGCAGCCCAAAGACTCACATCTTTGGGTTTTACAAGGATGATACAGTATACCCGAAAGCTCTTACTGAGCTCCATGCGTTCATTCTCTGAAATTTTCAAGATATCTTCTTTATTAGGAGCTTGTAGGTGATGATGCTCATGGTGGTACATTCTATTTCCATAACCAATCCTAACGTGCCCTAGCATAGTGATCAAGGCACAGAAAACGCTTCCCAGCATCACACCCTTCAAAAATAAACTGCTTTCAGAAAGCATTTTTTCCTATAAAGAAGAAAGAAATCCTTAGGGTAATTACTAGAAAAAATATGAGTCTAGTGATTTGATTTGGTATTCCTTATGCACTCACATTTTGCTCTTAACATTAAAAAAGGTTCCCAAGTTTGAAATAAAGTTATCTGTTTATAGTACCAAGGATTTTAAGACTTGTTGCTTCCAATTTATACTGTTCAGTATAAACTGGAACTCTGTAGCAACACCTCTATGCAGAATTTTTCTGGGAAGCTAATTTTGTACTTTATTTATAGGGATGTAACTAACCAAGTACTAAATCAAAGCATTAACCTGACAAACCAATATTACATACATTATCTGTCCATAACCCCCTTTAAAGGAATTTTATTTCACAAGCTTTTGTTACATTATTTATATACCTCCCAGATAGAAAGACTTTCATTATCAAAACTTTAAATTGAACATATAAAACCGTCACTAATTGGCAAATCATCAATGGAATCTGCTGACATTTTTGTTCTCAACCTAGTGCTTTGTTTAACCGATGGCTGCTATCCTTAGGTGTTTTGAGTACATCCAAAGCACGTTTCTTGAGATTGACACCATATATGTTAATATTTACCCTTTTGTTCCTAAGACTAAATGGTTTCCAGTAAATATTCCAACTAATTGATGTAATAAAAGTCCATAATGAAAATAGTTAAATTATTTGTGTAAGAACTGAGTTAATACAGGCATATCTGGGGACTGTTAATGAACATTTTTATTTCCTCTCAAGGTATTTTTTTATTCTTTGGGGAAGTAAAAGGGGAAAAGTCTACACTTTTATGTCAATTACAAATTAAAAGAAAAACCAACATTAAATACAACTGTTGAGGTTTTCCCAGTCTCCCCTCTATCTCTACAGGGAATGGTCTACTTGGCTACTGAGATTTCCTCTTTGACTCTTAAAGTTGAAAGTGGTCTTAGAAGCTACCTAATGTCATTTCTTTCATTTTACAGATAGGGAAACAGAGGGTCCAGAGAGTTTCAGTAACTGACCCAAAGTGACACAGTAAGTGGTAGAATTGAACTAGAAATTAGATCTCCTGACATCAGTTTAATGCTTTTTCTATTACAGAATAAAGATCTCAACAGTGCTTCTATCCATATTATCAAGAACTACTGAGTTACAGAATAACCCTGTATTCCTACAAATGACAAAAATGTGGGACTTGTTAGCCACCACTGACATTTTGCACACATCACAATACTGTTACAAGGAAACCATCCCTTGATTTTCTTTTAGAGGAAATGGACTTTGACTTCTACTAGGACAGATGTGCAATACCTTGGCAGATGTAATTCCTCAGTAGGGGTGGGGAGGGTGAGGAAAGAGGCAGGATGGTTTTCTTGTGTCACTCACAGAACTTGGTCAATAAACACAGCTCTAAGGAGGAAAAGAGAATTGACAGGAAACAAGCTCTGCTTAATATCAGAGTTGTCAGACGCACTCTAAAATTTAGATAGGATTTTGGCATTTCATATTATGCAATTTACACTATTTCTGGCCAATATATAATGCACATGTATCTCCCAGCTTGATAATGGCATATGTATGTCAGAAAACTTTCTGGTTGAGATACTACTCATGTATTACTTGTACCAATTTTTCTAAGGAATAGATCTTTTTTTTCCACTAGGGGAGGCCAAAAAAAAAAAAATCACCCTGGAGTTTCACATGATAGGATATTTGGTGCAGGAGAGAGGGAAACTTAAAACTGCACACGGGCACGAATGAAGCAAAAACTATTCGAGTGGTTTTTGAGATGCTTCTTTTTAGGTGTGGAGTATGGAAAAGGGAGGAGGACGAAATGGACAACACAAGTGAGAGGGAGCCATGGTCACTTCCAAGATCCCACTGAAGGGTCAAGGAGGACCTCCAGGAAGGCAGCTCTCAGTCTCTCCACCCCTCCCACCCCCTCCCACTGCACCTGCCCGGGTACCCCGCATAGAGCATGCTGGGAGTGGGCCAGGGCCCAGGCCTTCCCCAAAACATGGGCGGGGTCAGGCCCTGCTGGGGCCGCTCCAGACGCAGACCGATGCCCTCGCACTCACCCGCGTCTAGAACGACTCAGGGGTGGGAGAGCGCAGCTGCGCACGGCTTTCCTCTCACGTTCGCGCGCCCCTCGGTTACGCTCCTGGTCGGGCTGCTCTAGATGCGGGCGGTGTCTTCTCGTTGGTTTCGCTAAAAGTGGGGAGGGCCAGGAAGTGGACGCCGCGAAGGCGCGGGCAGCGGGGCGGGGCGAACGAGCCCTAGGCCCGGCGGAGCCGCCGGTTCGCGCAGACGTCGGAAGGGTCCGCCGCAAGCAGCACGCCCCTTTTCCCCGCCCTCAGTCTAGGTCAGAGAAGCGCGTCCTGCTGGCGTGACCCGCACGCTTCTCTCCACCCAATGGGACGCCCAGAGAAGCCCGCTTGCGTGACCCGCTGACACCTCCTACCTCTTGGCGTTCCCGGCGTGGAAGCTGCGATAACTAGCAGGAGCACAGCTAGTTGCAGACGACATACTCCGTCATCATTGCACCCTCCAATTAACGAGAGGGTACTCAATCCAGTGCTCGTGGGCTGGGACCAAAATTCAAGCCACAGAAATAGTCATCAAATTATGAGGGCAAGGATTCGCTATGGTTCTTGGAATGGCATCTGAAGCCCCAGTGTCTGGAATCCAATCCTGTCTCCACCGCGTCCTTTGGTATGCTGGAAAAGTTACTTCACCTTGCTGTGCCTCAGTCCCCTTCTACATAAAGTACAGACAATATCACGGTAGTGCCATCTCATAGGAGATTAAATGAGAGTGCATATTCCTCCATCAGCAAAAGACCAAGCATAAAGTAAGCATTCATTAAATGCTGGATATTATTTTCATCCCTGTATCACTAGTACTTAGCGTAGTGTTAGCACGTAGTACACAATACATATTTGTGGAATTAATGAATGCTAGAGCTACAGATGAGGAACCAGTATCAGGATAAGGCAATTTCTATAAAGGCCACAGCTAAATTAACGGCAGTGGAAGGATTAGAACCCCGGTCTCGTAATTACAAGTGCAGAGCTCTCCCCTGAACATGTTATCTGCTTTTTAAAATTCATCTTTGTGGCAGGAGGGTGTTTTGCTAAGAAGCACAAGTTCTTACAAATATTTAAAACGTCACTATGTTCTATCCAAATAATATTGAGTGGTGACTTTATCAGGTCTGAGTTCCTAAAGACATGTATATTTGAGTATTGGCAACTTACTCGTTTAGATAGAAGGTTTCAAAAAGCACTGAAACAATGGACAAATAGATTTTAGACATTTAATATCCTGGCAGCACTACCGTAAATTCTGGAGTTAGTGGTGAACAAAATTAGTGCCCCCCGCCCCTCCCCCCCTTCATGGAGCTCTCAAGTGTAGCAGAGAAGAAAGACATTAAACAGTTTATTATAAATATTTATAATGATGTTACGTTCTTTCAAGGAATACAAAAAATTTTAGTACTGGAAGGGAACTTAAGTCTGCCGAGTATCTTCACTCTATTTTGTTAAATGTCTATTTTCACATAATGTATATAAATATATGCATATGTATGTACGTATGCGCATGTATAGGTAAAGTGAAACAAGTTGCAGAATAATGTGTATAGTATGATTATACTTTGGTGAAAACAAACAAAATTTTATATATGTACATATATTTTTGATCTGTTTGTATGAGCAAGGAGAGTTGGGGAAGGCTCCTCAGCAGGCTGGTACTATTGGCTACATGAGGAAGTCGAGGTTCAGATAATTAGTTTTGTTTTTATACATCCTTGTATTGTGTTGTTACATGTTCCACTGGTTATAACAAGCATTTGTTACTTTTGAATTTGAAAAAAAGTAGCTAAAGTGATCTTTAAAAGTAGAGGGACAAAATGGATAAGAGGAAAAGATACCAATAAAAATACCTTTTAAAGAATGAAATCTTTTGTGACAGCATGGATGGACCTAGAGGGTATTATGCTATGTGAAATGAGTCAGTCAGAGAAAGACAGACAAATACCGTATGATTTCACTTGTATGTGGAATCTGATGAACAAAACAAACAAAATAGAAACTGACTCACAGACACAGAGAACCCACTGACAGTTGTCATGGGAGGGGTTGGGGACTGGGTGATAAAGGTGAAGGGATTAAACAGTAGAGTTTAGTAGCTACAGAACAGTCACAGAGATGTAGGTCACAGCACAGGGCATAGAGTCAATAATGTCATGACCACTATGTGTGGGGCCAGGAGGGCACTTGAAGCAGCAGGGGAACCACTCTGTAAAGTACATGATTTCCTAACCACTTTGCTGTACATGTGAAACTAATATAGAATAATATTGAATGTAAGCTATAATTGAAAAATTTAAAACAATTAAAAAAAGAAACCCACAGATTAGGTGGAAAAGATAATTCAAGGGAAAGAAAGTTGAATAGCCTCATTAACAGTCTGTGCACTGTGTATAAGACAGAAAAAAATAGCACGTCTTTTTACATGGCACATTGGTAATTACTTTATGTGTTATACTATTTTACAAAGAAAATTTTAGCTAATTTCAGAAAAAATCACCAAATGCAATGGAATACATTGAAAATAAACAACAATATGATCCAAAAAACCCCCCAACCTTTTAAAGAGTATAGAGAGCTACTGCCTCCTTGCAAAAAGAAACCAAGGAAGGACAGATAGAAATGGTGCTCAGTATTCAGGGACAGTGGAAAAGAGGCAATTTAAAATGCATCTTTTATCTAGTACAAGGATATACCAAACTGGAAGTTTTGCTACAACGTGCTCTGAAACAAAAATAAACCACAGGATTTTCAACACCAAAAGCACTGTTAATGAGATTTTGTCTAAAAACTCTTTTTTTTTTTTTTTAACTTAAAGCCGAGCTTAAATATACTTAGTATTTGAGGTGAAGTTAATGAGATGTTTGACTTGCAGTTAGGTGATTGCATTTTTAAAACACAATTCCACATTGTAGCTCTAATTTAAAACTACATACAGTTAATATCTGTTAAAATTAGGACTATTTATACTCTTTGGTCCAGTAAATGCGCTTATTGTGGTATCTCTCCCAGAAATTAAAGCATCAGAATGTAAGGCTAAAATGTATAAGGGCAAATGCATTGTTTATAATAGCCAAAATGGGGAATATCTATCAATAAGAAGTTGATTGTGTTAATTATGGTGCTCCATGTAGTGGAATATTAAGCATAAAATAAGCATCTAATTTCAGTAACCTGGCACTAAACACTTCACTAAACACACTAACCTGCACTTTGTGGGGGAGTGTTGCTTTTGAGTTTGCTTGCCTTAATGTACCCAGTAGGTAAAGCATTCACAAATGACAACACTGCATTTTTGGTAAAGCCCTCCTGCCAAGTACATGTATTATTCACCATGAAAAGTCATTTATTTCTACTAATTGGCGACTGACTTGCATATGAGCACTCAAATTTTCGAAGTCACTGCAAAGGACTTTAGCAAATGAACATGGCTTTCTACAAGAGTGCAGTGGAATAATGAATGTTGAAGAAAATCGAAGGTGGGTTGTTTTCTGCATAACATCTTTTTGGAGGGTTGAAAATGCCTTCAGTGTTTGCTAACATTAAGTCCCTGTAGTATGTGTGCCAAATCTGCCCAGAGTTTCACAACTGTTCATCTTCAGTAAACATATTCCCTTGTCTGAGCACATTGATTATTGTTTCCATTTGAGTATAGTGTGGTCACTAAATGAACCTCATTTGTGTGTTCAGACATATTTATGCTTACAATCTCATTTCAAAAATGTTTTTTTTTCCATTTGATGGCCATCTGAAACCTTTGTTTTTTAAAAAATTAACAAACTTGTTTACCTGCCACCAAATTTGTATTAAGTGTTTACAGTAGATCAGACACTGTGCTAGGTATTGTTTTTTTTTTTAAGAAAAACTTTATTATGGGGAATTTCAAACATATACAAAAATAGAAAAGTATAACAAAACCACATGTACTTTTCAGGAAGCTTTAACATCAATTCACAGCCAGTCTTGTTACTTCTCTACCCCATCCACTTCCTTACCTTCCAGATTACTGTGAAGCATCTTCAGGACGTCATGTCATTTCATCCACAAACATTTCAAATATCTCTATAAGAGATAAGGGCTTCTTAAAATCTCCCCACAATACCACTAGACAACTAAAAAATAAGTAATTCTCTTAGTATAATCAAATAGTCAGTGTTCAAATTATCGATAATATCATAAATATAATTTTTTAAAAAAGATTTTATTTATTTATTTTTAGAGAGGGGAAGGGAGGGAGAAAGAGAGGGAGAGCAACACCAATGTGCGGTTGCCTCTCGCGCGCCTCTTTCTGGGTCCCTGGTCCACAACCCAGGCATGTGCCCTGACTGGGAACCAGGGACCCTTTGATTCACAGGCTAGCACTCAGTTCTCTGAACCACACCAGCCAGGGCTGATTTTTAAATAATCTGAATCAAAATCCAAATAGTCTACACATCATGTTGGTTTTTGTGTCTATTGAGTCTCTTCTTAGTCTATAGTTTCTCTCTTTTGCCGCTCATCCCAAATCTGTCTCGATTTTTTTTATTGTTGTTCAATTACAGTTGTCTCACATTTTTCCCTGTCGCTCTCCGCTGCCCCGCCCGCTCCCCCTAGTCAATCCCCACCTGGTTTTCCCTGCCCATGTGCCCTTTTATACATGTTCCTTGACTTGCCCCTTCCCCTTCTTTCCCCCATTATTCCCCTCCCCATTCTCCTCTGGTCACTGTCAGTTTGTTCTTTATTTCCCTGTCTCTGGTTCTGTTTTGCTTGTTTGTGTGTTTTGTTAATTAGGTTTCACTTACAGGTGAGTTCACATGGTATTTGTCTTTCACCGCCAGGTTTATTGCACTTAGCATAATACTCTCCAGTTCCATCCATGCTGTCGTGAAGAGTAGTTCCTCCTTACTGCTGCATAGTAGTCCCTTTTATAAATGTACCAGTTTTTTGATCCACTCATTTACTGATAGGCACTTAAGCTGTTTCCAGCACTTGGCCATTGTAAGTTGTGCTGCTATGAACATTGGGGTGCATAGGTTCTTTTGAATTGGTATTTCAGGATTCATAGGGTATGATCCCAGCAGTGGAATCATTGGATCAAAAGGCAGCTTCAATTTTAGTTTTTTGATAAAATTCCACACTGCTTTCCACAGTGGCTGCACCAGTCTGCATTCCTACCAACAGTGGACTATGGTTCCCTTTTCTCCACAACCTTGCCTGCACCGCTGTTTGTTGATCTGTTTATGATGGCCATTCTGACCAAT